GTAGAAGTTTTGAAATAACAAAGTGTAATTTTGTGAACCGCGGGGTTTCTATATAGAACGATATCAATATTAAAATTTTTTGCAAGGGTATTTGCAAAAATTGCTGGTGAAGACTGAGCCGAAGGCTTTGTGACACGTCTTGAGAATGACTTATTAATGCACTGTAATGATGAATACGATTTATTTACGCGGACTAAGACTTTGTTTTCTAAATTAGAACACCACGTAAGTACTTTTTTTTTAATTGGGTCTCGTATAATTTTAAAATAATAATGTTTTTATACAACGCATGTAATGATCAATTTCACTCGAAAAAATCTACAAAAAAGTGATAATATTCTCATATTAAGGTGATAACTAATTTTTCATAAATTCGTTATGTTGTTTTGCAATAGAGCTCATTAAATCAGTTTGTTCCCAGGAAACCGGTTGTACAATTCTAGTTTTTGCTTCTTGGCGAATGTGATACTGGTAAAAAATGGAGTTTGCAACACGACGTCTACAGCAAACAAAAAGTCGAACTCGAAAATGCTTTCTTAGTCACGTCGCATTAAATTTTATTTTTTTTTAAATAGAGAAAAGAAAAAAACTTGATTCGACTGTCTCCCAGAAAATTTTAAATACCGTTTTGGGGTTGTCTTGCTTTTATACGCTTTTTAATGACATAAATATATGGCACGTACAGACAACTATTGTCACTATGCAAGTAAATGAACTGAAAAAAAGAAACTGATTAAAAGTTTCTGAAATTGAAACCTTGAAAATATTTTCAAATTGAAAGATGTTGTTGTGGCAAACATTTTTGTATTACGGCTTGGATTACGGCGTTTCTTTTAATGAACTTTTTGATAGATAGATATTCAGTTTCTAGGCATATTTTGAAAGTTTAAAAAAATCCCTGTTTAGTGTCGTTATTGCATTTAAGTTATTTCATTAACTGTTAGCAGTAAAAGAAATTGACACTACCCTAATGCATTTTTTTTTACCTGGCGTCAATCTTACGCACAGGGATTACACCGATATGATTGAAAAGTACGTCACTGTCTAATAAAGTCGGTAAAGTGGTTATGCAGCACGTGCATTGAGACGAAGATCTTAATGACACTAATACTATGGTATAACAAGCTAAGTATGGTAAATACAATAAAAATCCATAAAAGCGTAGCAGCGTGGCTTGTATGTGTGCGCGCCCGCCGTGCGTCGTGTATAGGCGCACAGATTCGCCTAATAATGAAAGGCGCTTGGGACAACCAGCACTATGCAACGCGAGTGTATCGCGAGATTATGCGAATGTTGCGTCCGTACATGGCATGCAGCGGGCGAGCACACACCTAAGCCGCGGTGCTACGTTTGTATGGAGTTATCACACTTGTCTTATTACACAGAAGACAAGTGCAGCTTCGCTACGTGAGAAGCAAAGCGCGACATTTGAAAAAAGAGATTTTCGTTTAATACCGATGTCGGTTTCAACGTGCGAAATATTTAATAAAGTGAAAATTTCTTATTAAATGAGTTCCATCGTTTTGGAGCTCAGAACATTGAGATGCCACCGTTTTGGAGCTCTACCACCGATCATGTGCAGTTAACAATCTCCTTGTCAAAGATGAACATCATGATCAATGTCTAAAAAGGTTTACAAAATTCTTCGTAGACATATAAAGTCTTCAACCCACAACGATTTAGCGTGGTATACTAAACCTTTTTTTTGTAGTACCAAGTAACAGGACGAACAACCCATGCGCCTGGTGGTAAGCGACATGCCTGTCCATAGCAGCTGCAGTACCACTCAGAGCTTTAAATCGCAAAGATCTGAGGAACACTGTTACTGCCCCAGTCACTCTTTGACGTAAGTTGACAAGTCCCATATGTCCGTAATTTTACTAGCTCCCTTATCTTTGTAAGCCGGAACGTAATAATGCTCACATTACCGCTTGGCGGCAGAAATAAAACCCTTACTTAGAGGTGATCGTTTTCCAACTTTAGAACGTAAATGAATCGCTGACAATGGTCTAGGAAGAAACTGATTTTGGGACTAGTTGAGTTCTGCTTTTGAAGTATTAAGTTTTATTGTAAAATAAGTTTTTGATTATATTGTTAACTTTGAAGAACGTTGTGAATTACGTGTAAATTTACCGATATCACCAGTTAGTTTAAACTGCTATTTTAATTATGTAACAGTTGACATATATCGTATTTTTATACGAATGTCCTAAATAAATTGACGCATGAGATTGTTCTTACTTTACCCAACGACTTTCAAATTAGAATGTTAATGGACATGTTAATGTGGATATTTATAGAAACTTAATTTAGTGAAACAATTGGCGTAATATGTAGGTATAGAGCACAAATAGACTTTGTCTGCGTGTATAATGGATAATTGTTATTTGTTGTAATGATTACACAGTTGAGTTGATGATTGGGTAATTGATTTTTTTGTGTGTTTTTGTGTTATTTGTAATCAGTTTCAAGCTATAACCAACTCTGTGGGTTAGTGAAATTTCCATGAGCGTGTCCTCCAGGGCGTCTACTCTTTTAGTCGGTGTCGTCTCTGCAGGGGCAAAATGTCTTTCCTCTTCTTTTTATGGTTTCGATGGCACACACAATAATGCTTGCACATCGCGGTGAAAGGATTTACCTGGAATGGAAATGACGTGATCATTATTATTAAAATTATATTTTATACATAGTACTGACTATACTTGTGAGAACGTAGAATATCAGTAAAAAGAAAATGAATTGGCAAAAAAAAATTTGTGAACAAAAAATAAATGTGCAATCTACAAGATTTGCAATCTTCGTTTTTTGTTTTAACGAATTTTTGCCACCAGTGAGTGAATCTATATAGTAGTTTATGTGACTGTTACATAAAGAAAGGCATTAAAATACGAGTGTGGGTTTATGAAACGAGCCGACAGGAAGGAAGGAATACGAATCAAAGAAATTGAATACATAATAACAGTAAAGTAATGGAGTATTTTTACAAAAAGAAAGTAATTGTGACAGCCAAAAAAAAATTAAGCTACTAAAAGCAATAAAGTGGCGTAACATATCGATGCCTTACTTTCCCAAACTCGTATCTTACAAAGATTGATTATTTAGGAGATGGCAAAACTGTCTATTTATTTTAAGTTTTTTTATCAAGAGTGTTGGTTTGCCGATAACACCAGTTAGTTTAAGTTAATTTGTTTTGTTAGTTTATTATAATTATTGATAACATATACGTAATAAAATGCTTTTTACACTTTTTGCTGCATGATCAGTGTATACATATATGTGTATATATAATAATGTAAAATTGCTGTAAGTGAGGTGCTTTTTTAATTATATATCTAATAAAAAACTGTACATCAGTCACTATTTTAATGTTAATTGGTTTTATGTGTCGTTGTAGTGTTGAAGAACGTTTTAAAGTATTTTTATTTTATTTTTTTATTTTATGTAAAGATCGAACACAAAGAAAAAACCCTTTGATCTGACAGGACTCAACACGTCTTCTATGTGTTTGTTTCTTCGGCTTTTATTAATGATTGTTTTCGACATTTGGTGATGTGAGCGACATAAATAATCAGTGTCTTGTATATATGTTGATCCCGAGATAAAAGTGCCATATGGCTAAATTTCAGGTTTTCTTGCATTACATGAATGTGCTCTACCTACTCCAAAACTGCATGTAGTTCTAAAGTGACCATAAATTACGTTTACTGGCGGACGGCGCATATAATTTTATCTGACAATAACGTATACGATGACGTTCAAGATACACAAGTAAACCCGTTTTAAAAGTTTGTATTAAAAAATATCTAATTGTACCTACCGTTTAACAGTTCAAGATTTTATAGCAATTTTTTTTATTTAACATTGCATTGAAAATATCATTTATGTAATAATACAACAGTATCTGTTTTTTTTTTACATTACAAAGGGACGGGACGAACAAGTCGTGCGCCTTGTGGTAAGCGACACGCAGACACGCCTATCCATAACAGTTACAATGCCTGTCAGAGCTTTAAATCGTAGGCTTTAAAGCTCAGAGTTTTAATCGTAAAAATCTTAGGGGCATTGCCACTGCACCCACTGCCCCCATGAGACAAAGTTAACAAGTCTCATGTGTCTGTAATTTCACAAGCATCCTTACCCTTTCAAATCGAAACACAGTAATTCTACGTTACTGCTTGGTGGCAGAAATAGGTAAGGTGACAATACGAACTCTTGCACAAGGAGCTCTACTGTGACTATAATCTTTTATGATTTTGTTATTTGAAGGCGGAAGCTTTTGACTTATTTCATTTTTGTAGTTTAAATATTGTTAATATACAGTACTGGGGAAAATAGAACACGAGCCGTGTTAAAAAGGCTGAGTTTAATTATGTTACTTTTACGAGATTTGGCTAACTACCCCGGAACACCGAGCGCGGAAGATATTTGATTTAATGGTCTTTTCATTCATTAACAGAGGTTAATGAGACAACTGAAGTACTTCATTTAACTGATGATTATTTAATTATAACAAAAGCCTAAATGAGAATTGAGGAAAAATATAATTAAAGAAAAATACATACTCTCGGTCGAAAACCCAAATGGTACGGTATGCAAACTTGCACAATTTCGTCGTTTAAACAGCTTCAATATAATGTAACGCTTATATCTCTGTTATGTATAATGAATGTTCTTAAAACTTATACAATTCTAATGAATTTTTATGTACATTTAATTTCACGCTGCATTAATTTAGATTTCTCTTTATTTAACGATTTTTAAACGATATTTCAAGATAATATTTCTTAACGTAATGTAAGTCTTCATAAACCAAAAGAGAAACGAATAAATATTTTTTAGTATACATTTAATTACACGTTGCATAAATGTGGATTTTTCGTTTTTATTGTTGACTTGATTTATCTTAGTGATTACGATTAAAAACTGTACTTAACATTTTTTAATGAGAGATTAATTATTAAAGGATGGAGAGTCTTTATAAATTGCCACTGTTTACACAGTCAATCCGAGGGCGGGTTGAAGAAATCTATCAAGTTCGTTAAGAATTTCTCTACTTCGTTTTGCGTCCCATTATCTGGATTTATCGTTGGCCACGGGGGCTGTTCCTCGTTCCACCATTCAGCAATATATTGGAATGTACTGGATTTGTTCATATTGTTATTGAGAAAAGCACATAACCTACATACTTCTCCGCGGTAACGATCCTCACCGGAAAAGTGGAAACTATAATAGTCGTGCCATTTGAAAAAGTCGTAGTATTTGTTTGTATCGTTTATAATTTCGACCATTTTGTCGGCCATTTGGTAGGGTTGTAAATTATTAGCATTCAAATAAATTCCGTCTGGCATAAATCTGTGAAATAAAGTAGGCAACACATTTGAACAACATAAGTCGAACAGAGGATCAACATCAATAGAACCGCTGTAGGTTCCAAAAAACATTAAAATTGTGGATTTTTGTAAGTCCATGCGGCATGCATTTTGATCAAACAATTATGTATATATGAAATATATATTCTTTATTGTACAAAGAAAAGACACGTGGACGATAATTCAAGTACTGGAGTAACTTGGTTCACGGTAATTAAATTATATTTTCTCATATTATCCCCAGGACGGAATCATTTAAAGCCGGGTACTCATTAGCGACCTATTCCTTAATTGCGTATAATTTGATTATAACAAACAAAGTTTGTACCAACTCGAGTGTTGATTTTTTAAATAAATAATAATAGATAGCGGTTAAATTTCTGTATCGTGTCGCTTCTCGAATGTATGTATGTCGATTCTTAAACCTGAAGCCCTGGCTCCGGCTGACTATGCGGTTGTTGGGGAATACCGCCTCTCCTAATTAAAAAGTCAATATTTACCTTTAGGGAAAGGTGCAAATCTAAAATAGATGCGCAAAGAAAGGGTTTTCTTTCCCCACCAATCTTTCTTTGAATCCAGGTTCTTCGTCTCATTTTAAAGTCCCGAAGGTCACTGAATAAACATCCCCATTTTTTTTAAATACACAAAACTCTAACACAGTGTTTTACCATACACATCTTCAACAGAATAATTCTTCAAACCCGGTCGGAAACACGAATAATCCAGACACAGAACATAAAAAAGCAATATTGTCTCTAGTTCAAATATAACGTATTGTTATTTGTGGGCGCCGCTATCGTTGACACGGCCTTAGCGTAGCACACATTGTTATACATACATAAATTGCACACTAATATCGGTTTGTTCAACAACGACATAACAAATTTCGTATTTCAATAAAAAACAGAATAATTGTGATATGGAGCTGAAATTTTATTCCAGGTGCAGTACTCATGTTACATTTAAGAATGGAATTCGATCTCGTTCATGTGACCGCCGCGAGCACTTTTGCCGGGTTCAGTTCTTTGTAGCCAATTATCTACCACTCGTCCACACGTATTGGCCGAAACGTTGCCAATTTCGCGTTTAATATTATTCCTACACTGATTTGACGTTGTTGGTTTGTTGGCATAAACCAATGACTTAACGGAACCGCATAAAAAGTAATCCAGCGGCGTTAGATCGCATGAGGGAGGTGGCCATTCGACCGGACCATTTCGCTAGATTATACTATTATCGAATTTCCTCCTCAATAGATCTTTGGGGAGGCATGTGTTCAGCAGTGGACGTCTTCCGGCTGATATGATGATGATGAGATCGATTCAGCTGTGTGACTGCAAACGTACTCGCGGTGGTCATATGAACGAGATCGAATTCCATTCTTAAATGTAATGTTTACTGCACCTGGAATAAATTTCAGTTCGATATCTCAATTATTCTGCGTTATTGAAATACAAAATTGTTATGTCCTTACAGGAAAACCCTGCGCTAAATGAAAGCTAATAGGTGGCGTTACTAAGAACTGAGTTTAAATATATTTGTCAGAATCCTGTGCATTTACAGGATACAAATTCACTGTTAGTTGTAACATTTTTTACGTAAAATCATCAGAATTACATACCCGCTTAAACTTGAACCTCTCAGTATAAATAATTATATATAAGTGTTATGCTGCACACGTACCTGCCATAGTTGGCACCACCGAACACTACGGGCACAGTAAAATGTTCCAAGGCATGCAAAAGTTTTTCAGTGACGTAGTCTTCACCGAATGAATTTTCAAATGATAAATAAAAATAATAATCTGATTCTATAATAGCTAAACATTCGTCCATTCTTTCAAATTGGGGACACATAAAAGTACCACATATCCCATAGCCACCTTTCAAACACTGCTTGGTACCGCATTTTCCATAAATATCCAGAATATGTCCATGTTTAGCTAATTCATGTTGCAATGCCTGGGCATATATACGACGCCAAGGTGTTTCGCAGTGGGACACGATCCATGCTGCGGCAATATGCTTGTTCCCCAATTTGCTTTTAACATAATCACTTGTTTCGTTCATTTCACTTAACGTCTTCCAACGCATATCAAGCTTAGGCCCAATAATTTCATCGTTCTCATCTTTTACTACGACATAAGGAATTGTAATATCGGATGAGAGCTTGTATGTGAAGGTGATATTAAAAAATCCATTGAATTCTTGGGCTATTGCATGGTACGCCGCGGCGTCCAACCCTACCAAACAGTACTTCTGACTTGCAGATCTGTTAGAAGGTAATACCAAATCCGGAGTTAAGCTTACTACATTGAACATAATGACTTCAAAATGTAGTATATTTTTAAAGTAATTATGATCTCCTGTCAGGAAGCAATTTTTGAAAGCGCATTTGCTAAACTCCTTTTGTCCTGTTTCGAGGAAATTGAAGGGCTCGAAATTCGTAGATGTCCATATAAGAATATAAATCATCCCAGCCTTCTTTTCATTATAACTGGTAACGTATACTGAATTTAACACTATGAGCATCATAGCTACTGATATAATATATCTGGTCATTTCTTTTGTTCTGAACATTTTCAAATTTATTCTCTGAATATAATGAAGTTTTGTTTATCGTAAAATATTAAAACTGTATTGTAGGGTCCAAGATTTTCAATGATTGTATTATTATTTTTTATTTAATTATAATTATAATGATGATGATGAAAGCCATATAATGAAATAGAGGAATAATATACATTACGAGTAGAAATATTACGGCACGATTAGGATGTGGCAATGTACCCAAAAACATTGATAGCATATGTCCTTCGTATGACTATGGAACCTCTATTAATTTGTCCATATTTTTTTGATTTTGTGGTAAAGGATGGGTGTTGATTCGATTGCATAGTTGTAACTCAGACAGCGGACGAGGCACATTGTTCGTAGAATGGCCGATGGGATTGACAAGCTCACGAGTGCCGTGAAGTGCACTCACAAAGAAGACTGAAGATTATGGGAAATCAGATGGATAGTTATGATGATCTTTGAGGTAGACTTATGTCCACCGGTTGATTAGTAGATCAGTAATTACGGTCCCACTTATACATACTCAGTCGCAGGACCATTTCAAACAACTGGATGCAAAGGGGGTACGCTACCAAATTTTTGGATATCCTGCCACAGAGCCTTGCCTTCATCACTTTCATCTACCCGTAGTAAGTGGTCGGCGATATGCCTATCCATAACAGTTGCAATGGCACTCAGAGCTTTTAATCGCAAAAATCTTAGGGGTATTGTCATTGTGCCCGTCACCCAGATACATAAGTTGACAAACCGAAAAAAGTTGAGTTGATTTGTCTCAGGGTGACGCGTGCAGTGGTAGTGCCCCCCAGATCTTTGCAATTTGAAGCTCTGAGCTCTGAGCTCTGGCACTACAACTGTTATGGGTAAGCGTGTAGCTTACCATTAGGCGCACGACTTGTTAGTCTCGTCAATTAATGTTATTAAAAAAAAATTATACCCAGATTCATGGTCATATTTTTTGATTAGAAATAATATTATTTCGAGTATTTCCAATACAAACATAGTTAAGCTTACTTTTTTAGAATTTTATTTTCTTATCACCATTCGATTTGGTATTTCTGAATAAATATCATTTGCATATCGAGTTTTTAGTTTTTCGATTGCTACACATTGGAAATAAAACTGTTTTTTTCGTTGGTTTGTTTGAAAAACCAAACATACTTTTCTTTAGGGTTCCTTTAAATATGTCCATGAGTATATTTCAGATGCTTTTGAAATATTCTAAGTAAACAGTTTCTTTATACACACTTAATTGAGGTCATGTTTTTGTCACGTTCTCCGTCAAAATTCGTCGTCTGGGTTTTTCAAAATTTAAAAAAGGGATTTTATAGTACTTATTTGTTTATGTTGCCACTCTCCACAGCCCTAAGTGTTTAGCAAAACCTAATTAATTTGGGTATCACGCGCAGGAGAGCTGTTTATAAGTTTACGAATGAAGGTGTCAAAACTGTAATTTTTATAATTTGATGTTTTCAAAATAACACGACTTTTTAGAAAGATATTAGCTATATTATACTGTATAAAACTATCTCTATGTAATCCCATACCATACCGCAAAGTTTGAAAACGAAGGTATTCAAACAGTGTGTTCTACCTGTGGAGTCGAGACGTGGACACTCACGATATGGTTAGTTCACAAGTGAAAAGCGAGCTATGGAACGAGCTATGTTCGGAGTTTCTTTGAGGGACAAGATACGGAACGAGGTTATCCGACACACAACAAAGGTCGTCGACATAGCTGGTAGAATAAGCAAGCTGAAGTGGCAGTGGGCTAGCCACATATGTGGAAGAACCGATAACTGAAGGGGGAAGCGAGTTCTTGAGTGAAGACCTCGGCAGCCCTCCGGCCAGATGGACTGACAATTTGCGAAGGGCTGCTGGCAGCAGATGGATGCAACGAGCTGAGGACCGGGCGAAATGGCGCGCATTGGGATACGCCTACGTCCAGCAGTGGATAGGCTGTTGATGATGATGATGACATAATTGTCATAATTTGGTATAACACTTTTTTTTATTAGAAAATAAGTGCACATATGACCTCCATGTAATTTGATGGAAAGCCACGACAAAACCGGATCATAGTAATGGTCACATTACTGTTTGGCGGCAGAAATAGGTAAGGTGGCAGTACTTCCCTGCACAAACTCTTTCATAAGTTGCTCTATTGCAACTAATTGTGTACTATTTATTAAATAGAATGAGAGAGATATATACATAATACACTGATTTAAATACGTCATAGATCTGTCGATATATTTTTACATCGATTCTCGATTTTGCGAACTTTGATCATTCTAATCAAGCTAAATTTTACGGAGAATAACTAACTAATTGAGTTATTGAATAGAATTACGAAACAACAACTACGGGTTCCTGTATTGTGCGTGTCGGTTTCTATACTTTGACGATTTTTTATAACATTTATGTTGATACACATTATTATGTATTTTACAATACTTTATGTTTTTATTATTTCCCAAACTGCTCCTACTGCTCGAACCTTTTAACCTACCTTTGAATTATGATTCTAATTGAACCTGAGTTTACAAATACCTGTTTTTATAAATGTCAAGTTTTTTACCGTTTTAAGCTAAATATATTATTTTTTACTAATAAACCTTTGGGCTTTTTATTTCTATAATAGCATTAAATTACGCTGCTCAATCTCTTCAAGACACTCGTTTCTAAATATTGATGGACGTCTTAACAAGTATTTATTATAGATAAAGTCAAACAATAAATCGCCATAGTAATCTTTAGGACAATGGATATTGTTGGTTTTAGTTAAAAGTTATGGAGATAATAATAATATTAATATTGGAAGCCGTCTCTTAAGGTGGCTTCACACGGGGTGTGGTGCTACGGGCTGCGTTACGCGAGCTCGCGCTGTCGCACGAATGCCGCCCGTGCCGGTACGAACTCGCCTGTAAGGGCCGCCCGGCCGGACTCGCTTCATGTCGGTGACTTCAAAAGTGCGGCGCTAGAGTATAGCAGCTCAAACTTGGAGCCTTACTCTCGAATCACGAAATCCGTAGTTACAGCAGTTTTCCCACTATGGATGACCTATGGAAAAGACGGGCCCATTCAAAACTGTCAAATCACGTTGTCATACATTCCTAGTTCTAGCCTTGATTGAAACTCAAGCCTGTACGTCATCCATAGTGGGAAAACGGCCATAACTACGTATTTCGTGCTCGGAGAGTAGGACACCAGACTAGAACGCGCGATACACAGTCGAGTCTGGGACACGACACCGGTATTATCGGCGCGACACGTTACGGCTTGAGAAATCATTTTTAATATAAACATCCTTATTTTATTGACTAATAATAAGCTCCCCGAATTTCGTGAAAAAAAAATAAAGTTACAAAAAAGAAAATACGAAGAAAAAGAACTAAAAAGCGAATTTAGTGAAAAAAAGAAACAAAAAACAAAATAAAAACAGAGAAGTCAAACAGATTCGGTTAGCGTTGTTTATTGGAATATCGATAAGCCGTGTGAAGCCACCCTTAGACAGTTTATTACTCAACAAGTTTGAATAGTCACTTTTCTCGAGTAGGAGCATGCGTTAGCATCTAATAGTCTGTGGTAGGAGCTGAGAATATGCGAATTTTTTGGTAACTTTGAGTTTTTATTCAATTCCAACCAATATACATATACGTATAGAAATATCTATTGAAAAATCTTGTAAAAGATGACGAACGTTATTCGAGTTAAATGTTCTAAAAAATTATTTCCTTATTTTATTTGCACTTGATACAATTACGGAACAAATATCGGGTATACACTAAAGCACTGTTTATGACCAACGTTTAGAAAAACAACTTATACACGTGGAAGTTAAATTAATTAATAAAATTTTCCTGTGATGAATGTGTGATAAGTGAGTGGAAGCTTTTGCTCGCTCGGCTGGTACTACAACGACCACATTCGTATAGTTTAATGTATAGAAAGTCAGTTCACAATCTTTCTTGCTTAATCAAATATTTTTTTTACGTTAAATATTCATAATTATGGAATACTATTTGATATTTTATCCCAAGCGTTACCAATTAAACAGAACAATTAAAGTATGATTTTTTCGTACGATTATATGACGATAAGTATAATTTTAATTTTGCTTCATTCAGGATAACAAAAGTTCAAATTTGGCTACAGACCAATTAGAGTTTTATTGTTCATTGTAAAAAAAATGCCAATTTTAAATTTTATTTAAAAAAAATTAGGGACAGCCGAGTGTCGGTAAAAAATTCATTGACCATTAAGCATTTTATTTTGCAAAAAAATAATTAGGACAATTTCTATATTATTTTTTCATTCATACAGTCCGCAGTTACAGATTCCATAGTCATCAAATGATTTTATCCAAATTGTTTGATAATATGTACAATTCCGTGGTATAATACCACGAGTTAATTTAAAGCCTGAGCATCACAAATGATATAAATTATATAAATTTATTTTAAATATAAATTTTATTGGATACTGAAGTAGTTCTGAGAAACCAAATATTTTGGTGAGTCCATGAAATGTTGGCACTACGAAGTATTAAAGAAACGATTAAATATATTTATTGTACCAAACTTGCATGCTAGGTGAATATAGATTTTCCTTTTTTACAGTTGAGTTGTTGATTCATTTTAGTGACTAAAAACTGTACTTCACATTTTTTATGATGTTACTTGTTGTGTGTGTTGTTTACAGATCAAGGAATCAGAATGCTACAACATAACTCCTAGGGCGGATTCAAGAAATCAAGCAAGTTCGTCATTACTTGTTCTACTTCATTTTGTTCACCAATATCGGGCTGTGTAGTTGGCCACGGAGGCTGTTCCTCATTCCACCATTCAGCAATAAATTCGATTGTACTCGATTTGTTCATACTGTTATTGAGAAAAGCGCATAATCTACATACCTCTCCACGGTAACGATCCTCACCAGAAAAGTGGAAACTATAATGGTCGTGCCATTTGAAAAAGTCGTAGTATTTATTTTTATCGTTTATAATTTCGATTATTTTGTCCGCCATTTGGTAGGGTTGTAAAATATTAGCATTTAAGTAAATTCCGTCAGGCATGAATCTGAGAAACAAAGCGGGTAACACATTTCATAAATTACTTATATTTTAAAAAACGGCGGAAATCTTAAATTCTGAAATATCCGTCAATGAACAAGGTTTACAACCCCTGGAAAACACGGTTTTTATGATACCAAGTAACGGGGCGAATAAGTGTTAAGCGACATGCCTGTCCATAGTCGTTGCAGTGTCACTGAAAGCTTTAAATTAATTGCAAAGATGAGAAGAGAGGGACATTGCCATTGCACTTATCACCCTGAGACATAAATTGACAAGTCCCATGTGCCTATAATTTCAGCAGCACCCTTTCATTGAATTACCTGCTTTGCGGCAAAAATAGGAAGGAGCTCTACTGTTTATTTAGTAGCAATACCTTTGGCAAGCGATATATAGAGGACAACATCATGAAACCTGAATGTCGATGAAGGTTTACTATCCCTGTAAAGCGTATGACATCAACCAGCATTGAACATTAAATCGTTTTTTTTTTTTTGAAGAAGACTTATAAAGAATTGATGATGATTGTGGATGTTTGCTTTTTATCGCTGCATTCGAATTGCAAGGTGTATATAAAATTTGGCCTATATAGATTGATGATTTATCCAATCTAAACTGACATAAAATGATGTCAAATCAAAAGTATTATGTTTGAAATCAAATCGAAACGACAACTAGAGTGTTTTTGACGTTGATTGACAACTGGCCGTTTTTGGGAAGCTTTATTGAAATTATTTGAACAGTTTTGAACTTTTTATGAAATAGTATGCTAAAGTGAATGTTTTCATCAACTATTTCATCAACATCATAGTTTTCATAGAACTGAAACTGTTTTAGATAAATCGACTAATTAGTACACAATTTAAAACTGTAAGACCGTTACCCTCCGGTGATTGCAAAGTTTTTTAAAGCACGCAATAGCTTTTGAATGATATGGTCGAAATCATACATCGTAATTATTAAAAATTTGGTTGCATGAGTGCGAAAGTAAGTGACAAAGATTGTTTAAAAACCTTATTGCATTTGTTAATTCGATTAACTTGGTAAGGCGAACAAATGCAAACAAAACGATAAGACACATCTTCCTACACTACCTACCTGTTATAGTTAGCACCTCCGAAAACTATGGGAACAGTAAAATGTTCCAAGGCATGCAAAAGTTTTTCAGTGACGTAGTCTTCACCGAATGAATTCTCGAATGATAAATAAAAATAATAATCTGATTCTATAATAGCTAAACATTCGTCCATTCTTTCATATTGGGGACACATAAAAGTACCACATAGCCCATAGCCACCTTTAGGACACTGCTTGGTACCGCATTTCCCAAAAATATCCAGAGTTTGTCCAAGTTGAGCCAATTCATATTGCAATGCCTGGGCATATATACGCCGCCAAGGCGTCTCGCAGTGGGATACGATCCACGCTGCTGCAATATGCTTTTTCTCCAGCTTATTTTTGACATAATCACTCGTGTTATTCATTTCGCTTAACTTCTTCCAGGGCATATCAAGTGCGGGCCCGATTATTTCATCATTTTCGTCTTTTACTACTACATAAGGAATCGTGATATTGGACGAGAGCTTGTACGTGAAGGTGATATTAAAATACCCATTGAAATATTGAGGTATTGAATGGTAACCCGCAGCATCTAAGCCGTACATGCAATATTTTTGTCCAGTAGATCGCTCTGGTGGCAAAGCCATACCCACTTCTAAGTGTATCATGTTGAACATAAGTACTTCAAAGTCTAGTATGCTTTTAAAATAGTCATGGTCCCCTGTTAAAAAGCAGTTTTTGAAGGCACATTTACTAAACTCTTTTTGGCCCATTTCCAGGAAATTAAACGGTTCGAAAGCCGCACGTGTCCATATAAGTATGTAAATAAGTCCATCCTCCTTGTCGTGATATCCAGTAACGTGAAATACGTTACACACAAGAAGCAGAGTTACTATTATCCTTATTATTTCATGTGTTTTCATCATTTCGAAATTAGTTTTTAAGTTATTTTTACTAATGGTTTTCATATGATATTTTTGGTGCAGTTAAAACTTTGTTAAACTTTGTAAATCTAAATATAAAAGCAACTTATAGGATTAAACATATTTTAATGGTTTATTGGAACGAGTGTAACAAAAAGATGCAGTAATACAGTGGCCTATGAAAATATCTATAATGTAGGTATGTACAACAGCTTTAGCCAGATACTTCTGGCTTCTTATTTTTAATTTTTTTTTTGTTACCTTCTATAGAATCTTTCGTTTCATTCTAATGACGTCAAAACTTTAAAATAAATAAAGAAATACTTTTGACTCTCATAAACACTTAATAAACACCATTATTGCATCCTTTTGTCACGATCTGAATTTTTATATAATCGTAATTTAATTATTCATTTCATTGCGGAAAATTGGAAAAGACAGACGGGAAGACTAAAAATAGATTACAGTGAAGAAATAGAGAAGACAGTGAGTACAACGAGGTAAAGGAGCTGGTTATAGACCGTGAGGAGGCTACACTGGTCTGGCTCATATATAGGATAATAATGATTGCTAAAAATAGTTTCTAAACTATTTTTAACTACTCTTTTAGTTTAGTTACTCATTTTCTTTAAAACGCTCTGTAAAATTACTATTTGGTACTTAAGGTTTATTATCTCTCACCTACAGAAATATTCTACTGAAAATATACCGTACTTCGTTTATTTATGTATAAATGTTAATTTATTAGCCCTAGCGTTTGTGGCTCAGTCAATAAGACTCAGATCGCTTCAACAAATATGTGAGGTCTTTATATGCTACGCACCGCCTGCTACATATCGGGCTTTCAATGTTTTGTAGCCATTGTAATTATGGTCCTATGTTTGTGTTTTTTTATAATTAGTATCATTATGCGATCTGTATTTTCTATTTTTAATATAAGTTTACGGTCTTATTGTATTTTGTTGTGTGTTATCTATGAAATATTTTATTCTTTCTTTTATGAAACAATAATTTGTGAGATAAATTGGATTTCACAAAGCGTCGTACGTTGCGCCGTTATGTTGACAACTGAACACCGACTTCATTAGGAAGTCATCACATTTATTGTCAAGGAATCTGCTACCGTGTCGATAAGTCTGTTGACCCCCTCACTTTGCGTCATATGAATTTGAATGCAACGTAGTATACGCGAACCGCGTGTTCATACCGAAATGAGGTGACACAGCAGGGTGTGCCGTTGTCACATAAGGTGCGCTGGTTTGTCTGCCATTATGTGGTATCGCCGCATCTCCTCGTGAAAGATTTTGGTAAAAAATGATTATATTTTCTTGAATTTATTTTTATTTTGTATACTTATTTTATACATTTTTGTATTATCATCGTCATATCAGACAGTGTTTTTACTCTTTTGGTCGTAGTATTTTAGATGGTTGTTTGCAGTTTATTCATGTCTAATTAAAGGAAACATAATGTTACTGTTTTCATTTAATGTGGCTATCGTCTCTTTTAACGATTACCTATCAATAGTCCGAAATTACATTTGCCAGAAATAATGTTTGGTCGAAATTTCATAATCTCGAACATTGACTTACAAATAAATGGACGACGGGTCTAATACGAAAACCACGAAAAAAATGTCCCAAGTCAACCTATTCGAAATTTAAATTGTTATGTCATCGCAGTATCGCGCTGTCAGTAGAACAAATGAAGACTAAAGCGGAGTGTCGCGCTCTGTATACGATTTTAGCGCCTTACAAGTGCGGACACTTTTTAGCGCGGACCCGACGTCCATATAATTGTAAGTCAATGATCTCGAAAGTAATTTTGAGAGGAAAAGCTTTTTTCTTTTAAACCTAACTTAACCTAACCTAACCGAACCTAATCGTGTCTTTGCGTTAAATATTCAACATACATATCCTGAAAGAACAACTGTTTTGTTATAATTCGGTTTTCGGTGTAATGAAAATTCGAACAAACGTTATTTCGAACAAAAAATTTTCGAGTTTGTGACCCCTGACGCAAAAAGAGGACAGTGACAAGTTTCAAGCCTTTGCCTTCGTAGCTCCTTTGGCATTGTACGAGTAGCTCCTAAGCTTATGAATTGATCTATAATAGTTTGTTTTTATTTGAAAACTAATAAAATTCTTAGCAATGTTTGATAAACGTCTGTTCAGATCTTTTATATTAACTTCAGCTTGCCCGATCGACTTGAAATATATTATGTTACAGAAATTTGATAACATAACAATAATATGGTAACCTTGATCTGATGCTGCAACTAAGATAGACTACATACCACCTAAAGAACTAAAATACCGGCAAATTATTTAAGTTTCAATAAAGGATTATTTCCTATTTTAGTATTATTTATTTAAAATCTATGGGTATCTGATTCTAGTTTAATTATTAATTTATGAAATCATAAAATATAATATTATTTTTATTAAATTAAAATTTTACCTAACAATTTACGATTGCTCTTTTTAAAAAATATCAAGTGACAGGACGACCAAGTCATGCGCCTGGTCGTAAGCGACATGCCTATCCATAACAGTTCCGGAGCTTTAAATCGTAAAGATATTATGGGCACTACCACTGCGCCCGTCACTCTGAGACATAAGCTGACAAGTCCTATGTGCGCGTAATTTCACCACCATGCTCACGTTACTGCTAAGCGGCAGACATACGTAAAGTGATAGTACTTCCTTGGACGAACTCTTTCACAAGGAGCTTTACTGCTACGTGTTAGATAAAGGTGTATGAAAAGACGACATTGGTCTAGATTCCGCACAAATTTGATTCCAAAGTGTATTACATAGTAATTAAGTTTATTTGAAAAGAGCAATCCCTAGAGTCTCTTGCTCGTTCTTCTCAGAGAAGTCAGCACAGTAAACGAGTAGCTTAAACAATGACGTCTTCAAGTGTAAATTTATTTTACCTATAGAATATGTGAATTTTTTATTCTGAATTAGATTTCGGTCTCATACGAGTGACTTTTTACCTTTTTGGAGAACATTTTATCTCTTTTTTTTAGTTTTGATGTCAGTGTTATTTGTAGATATTTAATAATAAATTACTGTATTGTAGTTTAATGGCTTATTCAGTTATTCTATTAACGGTCTAGCACTTTCACTGATATGCTAGTTGTGTAATTTGAATTGCCTCCGTGTCTGGATTCGATTCCCGGGCCGGGAGAAATATTTGTAATGGCCTATATTTATTTCTCTCGTGACTGAGTGTAATTGGTGGTTGTCTGTGTGTGTGTCCATGGCACCCGCTATACAGGGTTTCCCTAGTGCGGGGCTATGAGTGTGTTGCGTTATTATTATTATGTGCTGTTTAACGTCTTTCTTTATACTCTACATCTATTCATGTGTAATATGTCATTTCACATCTCCGTTATAATAATTTTGATGATTAGTTTTTGAATAGGACTTTATAAAACATTAGATTCATTTAACCGCTGTTGCGTTCCATTTATGAAATAAAAAGTGCTAAAGTGGTCGTTTATCGTGTTATAACATTTTAAACTTCACTTTTTCTAAATTATCGCAAAAAAATATAAATAAAATTATCGATACCTAGCTACGGCTCCCTACGCATTACGTGTTCAATAAGATCGTTTTTTAACCGACTTCAAAAAAGGAGAAGGTTCTCAGTTTAATTGTATTTTTTTGTATCTTACGCGATTACTTCGACATTAATGAACCGATTTCGATGATTCTTTTTTGTTTGAAAAAGGGTATCTGAGTCGTTGTCTCATTTAAATTTGAAGGAAATATTCCACCTAAGTGGCAAATTAGGGAATCAATCCGATTTATTAGATTTCACCCACTTTCGGTTAACCGATCTCATGTTTTGCTTTTTATAAATATAGATTTAAGTACATCTTATTTTGTAAATTATAACATTAAGTTACGCCGCCGTGATCATGACACTTTGGATGACTGATAATAATAACACTGTTGTGTTAAGTTTTTATAGTAAATTGATTACTTGAAACAATGAAAAGGCATTGCTATAATAATTAATATGAACAATGGATATTGTTTGTTGAAGTGATAGGTAGTAATATTATTATTTTTTGTCCGTCTGTTTGAGAGAAGTTTATCCAAATGTGTACGTCGGAACATGGTTCCTATGACAAACAGTGTTATGGATTTTTCGTTCTTGTCGCTTAGGAACGTAACACGCTTTTTATATAATATCAAGTGACGGGACGAAAAAGTCGTATGCCTGATGGTAAGCTACACGCCTGTACATAACAGTTGCAGCGTCACTCAGAGCTTTAAATCGCAGAAAAAGGTAAGGTGGCAGTACTTTCCTGGACGAACTCTTTCACAAGGTGCTCTACTGCTGCCAAAAAAGCCGTAGAAGAACGTAGTTCATCATTACCTATGTGTACGTCTCGCTGCTGGACACGGGTCTCCTCTCAGGCGAGAGTTTAGGCCATTATCCACCACGCTGGCCCAATGCGTATTGGGGACTTCACAGTTTTTGCGAGAGTTGTTAAGTATAGGCTGGTCACTAATGATTTTTGTAATTTAAAATAAAAACAAAATACTAGAAAAATTAACGCGGTTTATTTTAGCACAGGCAAGTGACGAAAGGTACAGAGACAATTTTAACAACAGTGAAATTTTATACAAATGACAATAACTTAGATTTACATACATTCAGCCTAGTTTAAAGTTAAAACATATTGACGAAAAATCTCTTTATTCTAATATATTAAAATTCAAAAC